TTAAAACAACGCTTTGAAAAACAGTGCTTTTCATCAGTAGTGTCATAACAGTTGTCTATAGATGAGGCACAAGTTAGAATAAGAATTAAAAAATACAAGCTTTTAAATGCCATCCAGCCTCTCTCATTAACCAACAACTTATTCATTGTTGTTTCAATAATCCTAATTTAGTCCCTGAGTGTAAATTGAATTAATTTGCCCAGGACATAGGGTCCGACTCCTTTGGGCTTGTCTGGTTCACATGAATTGTACATAGTTGTTTCAGAGCAGACCTTTCCTCTTATTAGCTTCAGTATCTGTGCCTGTTTACCCCTTGCCAGCTTAAAAAGCTCTGTTTATGCTTCTAAAATTCCTACATTAGTCTTTGGACCTACATTTGGAGCATGAAGAGAAAGGAAATAAAAGCATATGCTACAGCCTTGTGCCCTGAAGACAGTTGTTTCTCTTTTAGAAAAAGTTTCCCAACCCCCATCCCTTCCTCTTTCCATGTTTGAATGTTTAGAGTATTCTACCCATCCTTTTCTCAATTCAACCTCAAAATGTTAGAAATGTGTTACAACTTCCAAGCTCAGGGGTTCCTGGGTGGCTCAGTCAGTTGAGCTTCCCCTTGAGGCTCACGTCATAATCTCAGTGCTCTGCTTCCAGGTTCTAGCCCTGTGCTGGACTCTGTGCTGACAGCTCAGAGCCTGGAGCCTGTTTCAGATTTGTGTCTCCCTCTCTCTCTGCCCCTCCCCTGCTCACTCTCCTTCTCTCTCAAAAATAAATGAACATTAAAAAAATTTTTTTAATAAAATAAAATAGGGTTTGTAGGGGCACCTGTGTGGTTCAGTTGGTTAAACATTTGACTCTTAGTTTCAGCTCAGGCCATGATCTCACTGTTCATGAGTTCGAGCCCCACATCAGGCTCAGTGCTGCTGCTGCAGAGCCTGCTTGGTATTCTTTCTCTCTCCCTCTCCGTCTGCCTCTCCTGCTCTCTCTAAATAAATAAATAAATAAACTTTGAAAAAATAAAATAAAATTGGGTTCATAATTGTAACTAAGGGATTGTTTGGATGAATACATGTGGCATTAGCATGGGAATCTCCTCCATGGAAGCATGAAACTGAAATGAGGTATTGAAAGAGAAATATGGCATAAATATGGCAAAGAGAGAGGGAGGCATGAACTTTGAAGTGTGGGAAATCATATGTGTAAATTCCTAAAAGTGAGAATTAATCATGTCCCAAGAATAGAAAACTGGTTTCCTGACTTTACCTGGGAACATGGTAGAAGAAGAAAACTTTTGGATAAAGAAAAAAAAGTAGAAAAAGATCTTGAAGTTATGGTTGCAAAGTAAAGTTTACATAAGTGATTGAAACATAAACACTTTTTTAAAAAAATTTTTATGTCTTTATTTTATTTTGAGAGAGAGACAGCAAGTGGCGGAGGAGCAGAGAGAGAAGGAGACACAGAATCCAAAGCAGGTTCCAGGCTCTGAGCTCTCAGCACATAGACTGATGCAGGGCTTGAACCCATGAGGTCATGACCTGAACCGAAGTTGGACTCTTAACTGACTGAGCCACCCAGGTGCCCCTAAACACTTTTTTTTTTTTACCTTGTCAGTTAAGTCTACATTTCTCTGACTTTCTAGCCATTTCTCCCTGTGAATATTGGAAGATTTTCCTGATTTAAATCCTGAACAAATGATGTGTTTATACTGCTACCTTCCTGTGGGATGTTAGGCATCCCACAACTTTATTTATGAGAAATCAATAGTATTAAGTCAATACTGCAAACCAATTCCCATCCGAAGGACCCTCTTATGTAAAAGTGTTAGGCATTTACACATTGGAAAATAAATTATTATAACTTCTGGGCATATGCTAGTGTAGGTAACTTGACTGAACTTCTTGCTAAGAATAATTAAAAATGTAGAATAAAAAAATATTTTTTAATTGTTTGGATGTATGGATGACTTGGAAAGCTAGTGAGAAATAGTCATGGATCAAAAACTAATTGAAGGCAGGAACCCTGAGGTGTAAGCAGAAGGCTGAAGTCAGTTTTTCACCTTGAGGGCATCTGAAGCTTCAGTGTTTATGCCTTTGAGAGTGGAAAGGACAAATGGGAAAGCCTGAACTTGCCCAAGTTGGGAAACATTATATGAAACAAAATTCAAGTATAGCCTCTTTACAAAAGACTCATTTGAAACTAAATATAGAAAAAGTCGAAGTAACAGGATACAGAAAGATGTAGCAAGCAAATGCCAATCAAAGGGAAATAGTGGCACACTGGGAAGCTGTTCTTTACTGGGAAAGTGTTACTAGATATTAAAGATGAACACTTGATACTGACAAGCACAGGATACCTGGGTAAAAAGAAAGTTAATTAACATCCCCTTTCAGGGAGATAATCTGGCACTATCGAAGTATTAAATTACGTAAAACATGCATGTGCTTCAACCCAGCTAACCTACTTCTTTCATAATATTTCTCACCATTTCTTCCTTATGATTTGGAAACATGACTTTGATGAGATCAAGATTTCAAGAAGTAGACAATATAACAGATAAATGATTTAAAGCTTGTATATGTAAAAGTTGTAAACCATTACATGCTGAAATGAAAGACAGCAACACATGGTTAAATGGGAGAAAGGTCAATAAAGAATCTAAGTTAAGGGGTGCTGCAGAGCAAAAATGTGGCCATTTTAAGTAAACTTGTGTTTGTTAGACATCCATGTTCAGCTGGAAAACTAGCTTCCATGACTCTTTGGAGGTTCCTCTTGCAGTTAGGATGGAGTGAACCCTACCCCCGCTCAAAACAAAACAAAACAAAACAAAAACCTAGGAACTTCCCTCAGAAAGTCAAATCTCTGATTGCTTACTTCTCTGGAACCTCAAATAGACTCAATGACACAGCAAGGAATGAAATGCAGAACTATATATATGAAGTAGGACAAGAAATTCCTATCATAGGGTAAGCTGGACCCTTGGGCACTGAAATCTCCCCCACGCAAAGCCTAAAAGGGAGCAAGACATTGGTTCTGGGCACCTATGATCTGGAAGATTTCTCATTCTGAGTGAGCTTCGGACACCACAAAATTTTCCCAAGACTCTGCCAGCATTCAGCGAGGTATGGAGTTGGGTCTGCTTTCTCCAACATCTAGTCATCACCTTGCATATGGCTTTTTCACAACTCGTTTGTTCATTTGGGATAAAAGGAAGTAAAACTAACTTTAGCCAAGTCTTAGTTTGTGTTGGGGGTTTGGGATCAGCCATAAATGTTTTGAAATACCACTCCAAGTACAATACACTTCCTTAAAAAAAAAAAAAAAAACTCTTGATTTGTTAAAACATTATTGGCACAGTGATTCTCATGTTCATTCTCAACAAATAATAAAACCACTACTTCTACTACCACGCCTACTTTTGTACTCAATTGTTAAGAACCTGAGAAGTTACAAATGTATATAAATAAGGAACTAAAAGGAAGAGAATAAAAACTTGGAAATATATGGTAGATAACTTACTATACAAAATAAAGAACTTTACTTATTTATGGAAATAAATATGACAGTGCAGAGATCATACACTTTTCACTGCTTAAGTTACATATTATTTTTGGGGCGGGGAATAATTTTCTTCACTTTTTAGTTTCTTTTTTTAAAAGTAGACACAATTCCAGAGTGATATCACATGTTATACAGACTTTGGTAGGACTATGACTGAGTGAAATCTGGAGTCAAAAATGCTTCAAAGAATCCAAGAAATGATTTGAAAACAAACTTAACATGATGTATGTTGGGTCATACCCATGGACCATCCCAACTGTATTCTTTCTCTGACTATGGAACCAGGGAAAGATCTATAAACCTTCAAGCTATCAGTCCAGGATAGATTGGATAACAGCCTCCCCACCCTAGCCCTGCCTCAACAGCCCAGCTTCCCTTAATGAAGTCAACCATCTGTATATTGATTCAAATCTTTCTAGAATGTGTTTATATCTTCATATTGATTCATATGTGGGAACATGAATTTATTAAATATACTACCTGTATTTAGAGAGGTGTTTCTTTATTCATTCCAAATACCTTGTTAAGACAATTAAAAGAAGTAGCTAGAAAAACATTTCAGAGATTAAGAGTTCCTCTTAAAATATGAAGAAATGCTAAAACTGGGTTGTACAATATGATGATTCATTAAAATATTTACATTAAACCAAGAATTAACCAGAAATAAACACAGTGCAGTCTAATTTTGCAATTTTCTAATGCTATGTTAAAAATGCATTAGTGTATGGGTTAAAGCAGTGAGGTATCATTTTTCTCTCCTGCACCTTTGTGACTGCAGATTTTATTGCCTATGGAGATGACCTCTGAAGGCTGTCTCTGAGGCTCTTTAGGAACATGAGGCTCAAGTCAAGCACCCCTCCTGGCTTTATTGATAAAGCCTGACACCTGGTTTCTAATAATCTGAGATGTGATGTCAAATTCTCTGTGTTCTTGATCCTTATACTTCATAATTTGATTCAGATTTTCCATGAATGGTAAAAATTACGTGAACTATTCAGGCTCAGATGAACAAAGAAGAAGGTGACAAGATGAAAGGATGCAAAAGAAAGATTTTTTTTAAAAAGAGTTGGTTATGTTTCCTTGAAGATAAAACTGGGCAAACTCCCGGTTACTAAGCAAGATTAGGAAAAGCAGCAAAGAAACAAAAAGTGCAATGTAGATAGTGTGTAGTGCTGCTAATCTATTACAACTATGTCTATACATCTATATATTCATCTCCACATATCTCCATTATTCAGGAGGTTTACATTTAAATAGGCTACTGAACTGGCCTTCTGCTACTTCAACATCATACATCTTTCATCTAGAAAGAACAGCTGAGAGCAGGCAGCTGTGCTCGTTCATTTGTTGAGGCTTCTTACTGGTTTAGACAAAATATCCAGGACTTTGGCTTAAGCTTTACTGACTTCATGCCCACATCTGATGTGCTCTTTCTACTGACTACTTAAATACTAATCAGTAGCCAAAGTCCTCAGAGTGGAAAGATTCATCTCCCACTCAATATTTTTGAATATGGCTTCCAGAATAATTTGAAAAATATCCAGATGTAATCCTTGGGCCTTAAGAGATTCAAAGAATAGTTTCACCTGAAAATAACCAAGAAAAAAAATTACTGACACAGTCCATAAAACACTTGCTCTTGCAAAAAGTTTTGAAACTGTTTGCAAATTATACAATACACAAACATCAAAATAATAATTTCTCTGCCAACCTCTAAATGGGTTCTTTTCTTCTTCTCTTTTTGTGTATAATTATTATCTCACTTTGTCTTCAAATAGATAATGTAAGACGGGAATGATAAAGCCCCATCTTATTTTTTTTGAATTTTTTAATGTTTTATTTATTTCTGAGAGAGAGAGAGAGAGACAGCATGAGTAGGGGAGGGTCAGAGAGAGAGGGAGGTACAGAACCCGATGCGGAGCTCAAACCCATGAACCATGAGATTATGACCTGAGTCAAAGTCGGACATTTATCTGACTGAGCCACCCAGATAAAGCCTCATCTTATAAGCAATCAAATCAAGTCTTAGAGCAAGTTGTGAGCCAGGACTTAAGTTCTAGAATTCTAAGTTTCTTTAAAGGATAAATAATTCAAGATTTATTTTGGAAAGATGTAAAACATTACAATGCTTTAAAAAAAGTAGAATTGCCACTAACAGTAGTTTTGTTAAAAGACCTTTAAGTATTCTTCCAAACTTCAACATAGTCACTTGATGATATAATATGCAAGGACTCATGTCTCAAGGGTAATTTTTATTTTGAATGCTATAAACACCTGTATTTTAAGAAGTTCTAGACCTGTCCCTTCCATTTACTTGCTATGTGACATTGAACAAACCACTTATTTTCTTTTAATAAAATGAGAGCTTTAAACCAGATTACATATAAGTTTGTACTAAGTTTTATAACTTGGACATTTATTTTTATTTTTTTTAAGTTTATTTATTTTGAGAGAGAGAAAAAGTATGCACATGAGTTGTGGAAGAGTAGAGAGAGAGATGGAGAGAGAACCTCAACGAAACTCTGTGCTGTCAGCACAGAGCCCAATGCAAGGCTTGAACCCACAAACCAAAGTCACAACTTTGTGACTGTGAGACATGACCTAGACTGAAATCAGAGTTCAACACTTAACTGAATGAGCCACCTAGGCACCCCTTAACATTTATTTTTAAATTGTTAGCAGTAAAGAATCACAAACCTCTTGTAACTCATCCTTGGAAGAAAAGTGAGATATTGTGCCAGAGATGATCATTCTCGTGGAAAATGAGATATCTTTTTATCTGAAGATAAAAAAGAAACCCACAAATTTAATAGAAATATCAGCCTTATGTTTATTATGTCATATGTTTTTAAAATATGTGGCATTCATGACTGTATGTTTGTACATTATAATATATACTATTAATTACCATAGGAACAACTTATTTATCCAGTAAAATCCCAAAGCTATGAAACATAACAAATTTGGCACAAGATAAAAATGTAGATAAAGACTTTTTTAGGAACTGTGACTAGCTTATTGAGCAATGTTTATGTTTAAATTTATCTTTATGTTGAGAGTAGCATTGTCTATATTTTTTTATTATGTACTCTATTGGTAAAGACTTTTTGTCCAAGAACTTATCAATATACACATTTTTATTTATGAATTATATGCATGTATAATGTTGCAGGTTAAAAAGAAAATTTAATAACATAAAAACTAGTATATGTAGTAATATACTCTTCTTGAACTCTAATGTACTATTGTCTTGCACACTTCCCCATCCCATTTTGGAAATACATTGATACACTGTATTTGGGGGGCAATGTTATTTTGTAGAACTGCATTTGCAGCCACAGACTGTATCCTTCACCCTGGTGTCTTATATGGAGAATCTGTACCATAAGTCAAAGGGATTCATGCTGAAAACCAGAGCACAGATACATCCCAGAAATGAGTGCACTCTAGGCTGTGCACATGGTTAGGCAGGAGGGTCATCTCTAGTGACAAAGGAAATCCATGGCATTGCAGGAAAAGTCTGATCATTTCAGGAGGGAACTGACAGTCATGCAAACAACCCAACCAATGATTCCTGTAGAGTTTTTAAGGAAACACACACACACACACACACACACACACACACACGTATATTAAAAGCAGTTTTCCTTTGGTCCCATGTGAGTATCAATCCCTTAAAGACCTGGGAGAGGGGAGAAAATGCTCTTTTTGCTTATACAAGGCTTTATAGAGGACTCTGAGTCCTTCATGGCTGACAAATAAGAGGGAAGAGAAACTGAGGTCACCAGAATCAAATACATAAACTGACACTAAGATGAACAGAGCAAACCACACAGCTCTTGGAGTCACGGTATTTTCCATATAGTTTGTAAGTGACATTACAGATTTGGATGAGGAATGGCTGAGAGCTTTAGCAGGGGTTGTTGTGAGAGGAAGCAAAGCCATCCTGTGCCTTCCAATGAAGTTGAGTCATTATTGGTTCCTTCTGGGGGGATATTTTAGGCCCAGGAGCATCCTGGAATGAGCTCTGATTCTCCCAAAAGTTGAAATGCCAGGTAAGACTCAGAGCCAATCGAGTTTTGTAGGGAGGCTCCCCAAACACTTCCAATCAGATTTCTTTCAGCACTTCTAAGCTCACCACTGTGCCATTTCCACAGGGGAACTGAGAGTGGGTATTAGCTCTCATCAAAATTCCTGAAATTTCCCTCTAGAACAAACTGGATTAACAAAGCAAGTCAAATGTATTTGATGCACTATATATGACTTCACTTCACTATATATGGGTTCTTCAGAGCTGGTGAGAAAGCTAGGAGGAGGGTGATGAGGGTGCTGATGACTGGACTTAGCTCACACGTGCTCCCAGCAATTCTCCTTTGCCTGAGCTCAGTGAGAGAAATCAATTTCCCATTCACTTCTCATTCCTCTCCCTCACACCTTGACAGAGTAATTTGGACTATTTAGTTTTCAAACTAACAGAGTTCATCAAACTATTTGGGAACAAATAGGATCATTCATATGTTTTGGGGGTCACATCATTATACTTGATTTCAGGTGACTGAGCCATCTAGGTGGAAGAACACGCATTGGATATAAATGAATACCAACTTTTTAAGGAGATGGGTCCAATTTTCTCTTAAAAAATTCCAGGCTAATTGCTGTCACTTTGGATTTCTGGAGATTGCACGAAGAAGAGGTACCAACTCCTGTGTCTTGATGACTTTTCTGCCCATTCTTAGTTCAATTAATCTGAAGAACTAAAGACCATTTGACTTCTCATAGTATGTGTTATGTAATGGAAATTAACTCAGGCTACCGATGTATTAAGAGAATAGACGAAAAAGATTCAGGATAAAATGATAATTTACCAAAACAGTAATAAATTCTTTACTGACTAACATTTTTAATGTCCCAGCAGGAATCTTAATTTTTTTCTGGTAGTAATTTTATTCACTTATTATTTCAAAGAATTTTAAATTAAAAAACATTTTTTTAATGTTTGTTTTTGAGAAAGAGAGAGAGTTAGAGCGTGAGTGGGGGAGGGGCAGAGGGGCAGAGAGAGAGGGAGACACAGAATTCAAAGCAGGCTCTAGGCTCTGAGCTGTCAGCACAGAGCCTGACCAGGGCTCGAACTTACGAACTGTGAGATCATGACCTGAGCCAAAGTCAGACGTTTAACCAACTGAGCCACCCAGGCACCCCTCAAAGAACTTTAATTAGCATCTTGTACAACATCTCACATACAAGAATGTAATTTTGTGGTAATTTTTCTCCAAGGTTTTAAAAGTAAAACTTAGTCATTTGTCTAGTATCAGTCACCTGATTAATAACTAGGGAATATCTGTTTTCACTATTTGCATTTTGCCAATATATTTTGGGAAGTAAAGTCAAAGCAAATCAAATCCTAAATCAGTTGTTTTATGCCTTTGAAGTTAGTGGCCAATATTTTAGTGACTTCATTGAATTTTTACCAGTTTACTTTTTAACAATTTAGTTAAATTAGTGCACTTACTTCATTAACTTTTCCTGTTGTTTGCTGGTTGGCAATGCATACAGAATTTTGTTTTTTTCAGCATCTGAAATTGACATATTGCTCTAAAAGGTAATTCCATTCTACTGTTGTTTGAGCACCCACAGAATATACGATCTTTAAAACATCTGTTGAAATGCTGTAATAAGAACATAAGTGAAAAAAAAGTCCTATGAAACAAAAAACTCTTTTTTTCTTATTACAATTTTAAATTGCTGTAACAGATTCACCTCTGAGTTATTTTTTACCTAATGTGTTAAACCATTTTTTCTGTCAAACTTTTATAAAACTATTTTATGTAACTTTACTTTCCAAATTATTTGTGGGTTTTTTCTACTGATTATAAAATATTAGCAAGGAGAATAATCATAAAATTTTAACTCAGAGATGAAAATAGAAACTTTATGGAATCAATAAATACAAGAGATGATTTCTGACATATAAAAGCAGTGGTTTATACAGAATTCTAGATTTGAATAATCTGTATTAGTGTTATGTGATCTTTTTAAAAAAATATGATTACTTGCTGCTTTAAGTCCCACATTAAGACTATTTTCTAACAAAATGACCTGAAAGTCATCTGATTTTCTGGGTCTAGAAAACTGTAATTTAGCACAATTGATTAGGTTCAGTCATTTTATAAATTGTAAACTGATAAGATACAATAAAATTATTTTCTGTCCACATAAAGAAGAAACCACAATTTTGGGGTTTTATTGCTCTGTAGAATATTAACTAGTTTTGATTCTAATTTGGTTTATGATTTTTAATTCCAAATATTGGTAGATCAATAATAACTGGTATTCATTTTGATAGCTTAGAAAAAACACAACAGAGAAGTAGGAATGGAGCAGGAAATTTGCATTTATCATGAAGTGACCATATGGTAGGAATTGTACTACTCTCTGTACATCATATTTAACTGTCAAAGCTACCTAGTGAGATTATTATCCTGATTTTTGAAAAGTGGAAATAAAGCTTTGAAAGGTTAAGCAACTTGTGCAAGGTGATATAATAAGCCATTTTGAAGATGATATTTAAACCTATGAGTCTAATGTTGTGTTATTTCCACTATATATGCTTAAATATCCCAAGTACCAGTTGAATCACAAAACAAAGATTAGGCAATTAAATTTATACTACATTGTTTTGATTTTAGCATATTTACTATACAAATGTATGAAAATTGATAAGAAATACATTGTAAGTTTCTTGAGGGTAGGACACATCATTGTTTGCTCACGACTTTATTCTTGGTACCTACAAACAGTGCGGGCTCACAGGTAACCTGCAAAGAATTATATTTTCAATACATGAATGAAATAATCAATTTATGTAAGAAAATTCTTCATTATGGTTTAATACTAGCAGTTTTGACGTTTAGGGGAACAAAACCTATAATATTTAATTATGTATTATTGATTACAAGCATAAATGAGCTTTACCCACAAAATTTTCATAAGTATTGCATCAGATTAAACATGTTGAGCTATCATATCTAACCCATAGGTGAGTTACTGCAGGTAAGATCATCCCTCTTCTAACAAGTATAGAGATGGAATAATATCTCATTATGTTATATGACAGCAGGATGTTTACATTTTAGCCTCACTCATACAACCCATTCAAACATGAACAAAAAGAAAAGAAAAACAGAGCTAACAGATCCTTTTTCCTAAAACTGAATTTTTATTTTAATCACAATGACCAGAAAAGTACTAAAAGAAGAAAACTGGAATTAATGTTTTTAAAAAGGAGAATTCAAGATAGGATTTCAAAAAGCTCTGAGATTTAGGTATATGGAGAGAAATTATGATAGCCTATCAGCAGTCTGGCACAGGAAAAATGGAACAGCATTTTTAAAATAATGACATTTTTCTTCAATTTTAAGGAATGAATTTTCCTTAATTCACATACCAATTTGATTTCTCAAAACGTCCAACTCTAGAGTGACAGTTTTAACAGTAACACTATAAAATCTTGTATTGGACATAAATCAAAGTTTACACTGAAAAGACTGTGGCATCTGTTAGTATCTATGGGTTGCAAACTGCTAAACTTAATGGCAACATAATCCATATGACCACTGGGCATCTTTCTGATTATTATAACCACCGCAATCCTTTTTGCCATCATATACACACTTTTGATGGACCAAATCATCAGTTTCCCATCAAAGATGAGATTTGAGGTCAAAATTCGGTCTGTGGTATTGATTAATGAAGAAGTAAATATATATTTATTTTAAAGGTATCCTCCTCTTTTTTAAGAAAACAAGTTTTAACAAATGATCACTGGTGTTTTGACTGCATGTACATTTCACATTGCTTTTTATCTTTAAAAGACATTACTTTTGGAGCTTGGGCACCCCCCTGTTTCTATCCTCTGGCTATCTTTCTGTTACCATGCCAATGCTTTTTAGCTCTCCCTCTACAAGGACCTAAACCTTACTTCCCACAAAATCTATTGAGCACTTGCTATCTGGGAGCATGAAACACTGGTATGTAATTCCCAGCATGGCTTTTACTCCCTTGTCGTCACTGAAAGGTTTTAGATCTAATGTCTTGCTTGATCAAAGACTTTTGCATCAAAGTGAAAGGAAAAAAGAACAGGACAGATGTCTAGATTTACCTTAATTTTCCACTGAATTCCATCCACTGAGAGAAGAGTTCAGTTGCCTTCTGGATGCGGGGAGTGTGGTTCAGGTAACAGGCCTGTTTTATGATGGTCCAGCCAAGCAGCCTGTCCCAGGCTGAGCCCTCGTTGCTCCAGCTTTGTGTGTCAATCTCTGGCTTAAAATATCGGAGAAGGTAACGCTGCAGAAAGCAGAGGATGATTTAGAGAGAGGCTAAATTTAGTAATCATACAGCTCCTACCCACCAAATGGGGTCAACTCTAAACTGTCTGCATGAATCTTCCCCAAACACAAAAGAACTTATCTTTGTACTTTTCTTCTCTATTTCAGGGCCCCACTTACCATGTTTAAAGAAACTTTCCTTTAAAATATGATTTAATTTACTATCGGGGGTGGGGGGGAATATCAACTAATAAAAGGTAAAAATCACATTTAGGAGGAATATTTTGCTCACAATCCTGATAGGATCCTCCTAGGATGGTGATGACAAGGAACAAGGGATTTCCAGCCATTCCGTGTTGACTGTGCTCAATCAGCCAGGTCCCTCAGCTTAATCCCCAGGAGTTCTCACAAACAGACTGCGTCTCACTGATCCTCCAGATGCTATATATTTACTTAAGGAATTTTCTGGAAGTGACACAAACCTTGAAGTTTTCAGTGACATCTGAAATATTCCTTCTGTCCATCATGTGGTAAAACAATTTTAAGTATTCCAGACCTTTGAGAAGTGCAGGGATGCTCACTTCATGTTGGAGATAGCGAGTCAGGTCAAGCGTTTTTGTCTAGGGTCAACCTTGTACTGAAGTACGAAACAAGTGTTGGTGGTTTGTATGTATCTTACAGTTCTCAGTATTCTTAAAATTAAAACAAATGCGATATAGAGGGCAATGACAGGAGCTGTTCATTATAGCCAGACCACTGACTAGCTATTTGATCTTAGGCAAATTATATAACCTCTTCAGTTGCTTTCCCGATACCTGCAGATGATAGTAGTATCTTCTATTGTTGTAAGGGATTAAATGTGTTCATACATGTAGAGCACTTAGAATAATTCCTAGCCCACAGTAACAGCTTTATAAATGAAATAGTAGCTAATATTAATATCTAGTACCAAATAATATCAAAGTTTTAACATATTATCTCATTCTCTAGTTATTTAATTTTTGGATTTGAGTTGTTCCTCCCTGTGAATTTGGAACTTTGAGGACAGGTGGTATGTCTTCTTTTTTTAATGCCCTTCCTAGAGCCTAACAGAAGTAGTAATTATTCTGAGTAGGATAAAACAAGTATTTCCATATTTTATTAGAATTTATTTAGAAACCAAAGTTATATGCCTTCTCTACATTTTCTTTTATGAGAAGAACAAACAACAAAACTATTATTGTGAATACCAAAACATTAGGGTTTCTTCTGTAGAGGAAATAAATCATCATATCGTCATTTTTGCAAAGTGATTCTTGCATATGTTTCTAAGAGATCTTGTGTCTGCACATGGTCTATAAGCTATTCATGCCAGCATCCGACTCCCAGATTAAGCATAATAATTTGATATGGAAACAGATTCCAGAACAAAGAATGTCTCTGTTGAATTTTTCATTAACACAATGCCTTACCTCCTTGGGGTTTTTAAAATTTTAAATTCTTATCCAAAAAGAGGGAACTGAAACTAGAAAAAGGGAAATGAAGAAGAACCAACTTTTGCTGTGACTTGACTCTTCTTAAGCACAATGATCTTCTGCTTTAAAATAGACTTCTGGAAAAATTTCCAAAATTTTTGTCTGAAGACAGAGGACTGGACCATATGAACTATGACCCTATGCTTTGCTATATTTTTTAAAACATAAATCTACCAAATGTCACTATTTCTTCCCACATAGTAATATCATAATGTACAGTATAGCTGTATCTTAGAGGATTAGCAACAGGGAAACTATGTATAATTTTCCATGGTCACAATTTATAAAGAATACCAAATATAAAACTTACTTCAGGTTAATCCTGTTGTTCTTATTTGGTACAACCTACTTTGTTTCTTACTAAAACAAACACCAGTATTTACTTTTATACCTACCAACTTAAAAAAATTAATCTTTTTTAAAGAAAATTTTTAATGTTTTGCTTATTTCTGAGAGAGACAGCATGAGCAGGGGAGGGTCAGAGAGAGAGAGGGAGACACAGAATCTGAAGCAAGGGCCAGGCTCTGACCTAGCTGTCAGCACAGAGCCCAATGCAGGGCTCGAATCCATGAACCGTGGGATCATGACCTGAGCTGAAGTCAGATGCGTAACCGACTGAACCACCCAGGTGCCCCTTAAAAAAATTAATCTTAATATTCATTAAGAGGACTTCTTTTCTTCTTATGTAATTATTGATTAATAAAAATCTAGCTCCTCACCACCAATCATTGCACAAAATGTTACTTGAATGTTTGTTCAGCTTAAAAACTGAACATACATATAAGAGTATACTTTAGCCCAACAGGAAAAATCTGTATCTTGTTAGTATACAGTTATATACTTATTGGTATAAAGTTTTAGTCAAATGGTACTTTTGTGAAATAAAACTATATTCCTGAGGAACAAGTTTGGGTTTTCTTTTTATGGTGTGGGACTAAAAGAAAAAAAATAGTTTTTCTGTAAGGAAATTAAAGTTGCCATTTTAATTCCACTCAACTCAGATGAGATCCAAGTGTTAAATTATATTTAGTAAGTATAAAAAAACAACTAAAACAAATATTCATTCTTTGGTCAAACTCTGTCTTCAAAGTAAATATAATTGCTGATTACTTTTTTTTAATGTTTTACTAATTTCTGAGAGAGAGACAGACAGACAGACACAGCGTGAGCAGGGGAGGGACAGAGAGAGAGGGAAACACCGAATCTGAAGCAGGGTCCAGGCTCTGAACTAGCTGTTAGCACAGAGTCCAACACGGGGCTCAAACCCACAAACCATGAGATTATGACCTGAGCCAAAGTCAGACACGTAACCACTTAACCAACTGAGCCACCCAGGCACCCTTGTTGATTACTTCTTTTAACTCTTAAATAGGTATTTGACAAAGCAGGCAAGGACAAGATAAATATTCCTGAGGGGAAATAGTAAGTAAAAAATCTATTTTTTTTACAAGTAAAAATATTTAGACCTATTATGAGAGTTTTAAATTGCTTTCATATTGAGTTACTTTTATCATAAAATTAATATAAGCAAATAATGATACACTTGTAAATTAGAGAGGAGAGGAAGAAGACTCATAATTTCACTACCCTATACATTCACTAATAGCACTTTGGAATATTTCCTGCTCTCCCCCCCAACCCCCACTTTTTAGCTAATATTTTTTCTATGTAGTTGCAAACATAATAATACACAAATTCACATTCTTCTGCTTTCCAATTTTGCATTATTTGAAATACATTTCTGTGTTCTCAGTTCATCTTCCTATTCAACAAACAATCTTTGAGACAATTCACAATATATAATACTAATAATGCTAGAGCAGGTACTGTGCTTAGTGCTTTATTGGCATTCTTTTATGTAATCCTCAAAGTAACCCTTTTTATTAGATTTTATTACTTAAAATTGGAATTTTAAAGACCAGAGAAGTTTTAAAAACTAGAAAATTTAGGCTTCAACAGTTTAGATAGTTTATCTAAGGTCAAAAAATAATTAAAGAGGTTGTACTTGAACCCATCTATTGTAAACCAAAATTTGTACTCTTAATTAACTTCATTAACCTGTCTACCAAGATCTTATTATTTTTCCACTGATGCATTAATAACTATAGGGTTCCTTCTGCTAAATTTAGACAACCTATACATGTAGGGGCTAGAAATAGCAAAGAGGACTTGGCAACTACTTGAAAGACTGCTTTCATTGGCTAAACTGTCAATATTCTTCAGTCTTTCCATTCTTAAATTTTTAATCTACCTTCTCTGCAATCTACTCAGAGTTTCTCCTTTGAGCAGACAAACCTCCTCTTTCAATGAGCCATAGCCTACTTCTCATCTAATCTACCATGTATCCATTCAGATGTGGAAATGTGTCTTCCCCAATCCTGGCCTCCAGCGTGCCCTGCTACCACTAGTTCCTAAAACTTGTGAGGCTGAGAAACAGCTCTCAATCTCTCCATTTGAAATTCTGTTGTATGGAGAAACTTCTCCTGAAAGGTATCCTGCTGATTACTCTCACTGAATTTGACCTAAATAAACATCTGAAAGGAAATAATATGTCACACTGAATAAACTAAGTACAGTAATTCTCAGAACAGGAAAACCTTACAATATACAATACTCCAATTTTTTTCCCATTGGTGATTTTATGACCTAGTTTATTCTACGTATTATTCTGCTGATGATAAATGGGAAAGGAAAGAAAATACTTTGTCTTTCTAAGAAATTCTGAAGAGGAATAAACATAAGTAGCCAATTCCTCCTTCACTTCTCTTTCAATTTCATTATGATTTCTTCAATGTGAGAAGTAATGAATGGACTGTGCACTAGATATAACATTTAGAATAAAGGGAAAGACTATATTATACTTTTTGTTCAACATATTACATAGATATTTGGTGAAAACAAGTCACTCACATAAACAAATTTTAAATCTGGAGTCAAAAGCTTAAATACTTAGAGGTTCACCCTAAGTGAGTGAAGCAGGCCACTTGTGTACAGTTTGGGACTTTGGTACTTGGGGCAATCATGGGATGGCTTCAGCATCTGTCCACTGCACCTTCCTCTTTGTGGGAATGAAGGTCCACAGTTACCAAATCTTCTCGCTTAGAAAAGAGACTTCAGAAGTCAGGATTTGTATATAAAATTTCCCACAGTTTAAAATGATGAATTAGAGGCACCTGGGTAGCTAAGTCGGTTAAGCATCAGACTTCAGCTCAAGTCGTGATCTCACAGCTTGTGAGTTCGAGCCCCGCATCGGGCTCTGTGCTGACAGCTCAGAGCCTGAAGCCTGCCTCAGATTCTATGTCTCTGTCTCTCTCTGCTTCTCTCTCTCTCTCAGAAACAAACATATAAATAAATAAATAAAATTGGATTAAATTTTTAAACACTGAATGGGTCAAAACACCTTATCAGTAGGTAGACTTTGGCCCAGTATTTGACCTTCATTCAGATCCATCTCATATGAGTGACCAACACTGAATATTTGATTTTGAAATCTAGCATATTTAATTAAGAATCAGTTACTTCCTATGAAATCAGATGAAAGTTTGCATTACCTTACCAGCTGAAATGCATCATGAATCAGACCTAGTCTGTCCTTAGGTCTGAGAAATTTGTGGTTCTGATTCAGCTGTATAATGAGTTGGCCACATATATGTCCCTCATAGTGAACAAATGTAGTAGCCATTTGAGTCCACACTGAATTTCAACCAACTGGTCATTTCAGATAAATCCAGAGTATCTAGGAGGAAGAAATTGCCATAGCCATTTTATTATCAACATACTTACCAGGAACATCTCCAAAACTGTTAGTTCTCATGCTATTACTAATTAATCAGTGGGAAGACAAAGTTTTGGAACAGTCATGATGATATTCATTTTCACGGTCTGCTGGATGGTTTTGTGTGTGTGTGAATTATAGTCTTATTAAATTTGTAAATAAGTTCATTTATAGGAAAAGGACTGTTAAATGTGTTCTCAAAAGCAGTCTATGCAGGTCTAAGAGGCCCAGTGAACCAGATGATAAACATGATTGGAATTTGACTTGAATTTTTTGTGGCTTTGTCTCAGGGTTTAGTTACCAGTTATTGAAATATGTGTATGTAAATAGGTGATTCATTTGTCCAGTCCTTATTTTGGGTGATATAAAGATTCCAGGTTGAACATTGTATTATGATGAAAACCCTCTCACATTTCAGTGTTCAAGAAGAGAAGTTAAAATTATGTTATGGGGCACCTGGATGGCTCAGTTACTTAAGCACCCAACTCTTGATTTTGGCTCAGGTCAGGATCTCGCAGTTTGGGGGTTCAAACCCCAGGCCAGGGTCTGTGTTGAGCTGGCTTGTGATTCTTTCTCTCCCTCTCTCTCTGCCCCCCCCCCAACTTGCATGAGTATGTTCTCTATTTCTCAAAATAGATAAACTTCAAAAAATTGTATTATGTATTTTTAATATGAGAGACATTATACTACATGGTGAAATAACATTACCATATTCCCTCAATAGTTCTGTGAAACTTGATCCTCATTCAAAATAAGATGAGAAAATTGAGGCTCAGAAGAAGTAATTTTTTTTTTACTATTTTATAGGTTGATAGACTTATTATTCTGAAAACATTGTTCTATTTATACTCATAAAACTTAACCCAGAATATGTTGCTGTCCAATATACACTAGACCATCTAATGAAACTATGTTTCTTTCAATGAGAGAAGAAACTGCTATCTAAAAGGAACAAACAAACAAGCAAACAACTAAAAATGCCTCCCTCTGCTATCACAAGTTATTTTTTTTAAATTATATTAAGTAAACTACCAGCCATAAAGAAATTTTTTTAAGGTCACATGTCTAATAAGTGACAGAGTGAGGATTTGAATCCAAGGCCAATTTGTTCCGAAGTACTTGCTTTTTTTAATACATATTTTTGCATTGTGGCATAAGAGCTAAGTTAGTAGTTATTAAGAGATATAAGATAGAAAGCCGTTATTTATTGATATAAATACAAACCTATCTCTAAATGCTAAAAGGACAAGAAAAATTCCCACTGAAAAGAAAATTCAAACTTTCTAGCTAAAGAGTTTTTTAGTAACTTATACAGATACTTCCCCAAATATATATCTTCTATTGTTAGATTTATTTATAGTATCTTTCCTCCAAATAACTAAGAACATGTTTAATTTCATAACTGAAACACCTATTTGGCTAATTAGTTCATTACCTGTCCTTGATTTTAGAATGTATCCATGAATCACATTATAGGAACTCATGGAGTAGGTCAATGGAATATGCCAAAGGTACCTAGAAATAAAGACTGTTACAGATTAAATGAATGGCCATTTTAATTTTCACATTGTCAGACTCAGATTGCCTATAAAAGTCACCTAATGGCCCATCTTTCACACTATAAGTGGCCTTATAAATTTTATAGGCTAAGACTTGCAGATCCTTGGGTATGCAAAAATTCTTCCATATGATTATAAAGGTGCAGCAATATACACCTAGTTGAGCTCTGTCACATTTCCTTGTGCTATTTGCTATCCAAATCTCATATCACAAGTTCTGTTGATTGTTTTCTTCCAAGGAAGAGAAAAAAAAATCCAATCTTCCTTTCATATTTCCAAAAACTCTGACAACCTGATATGAATTCAAATAACCAAAGAAAAGCTTCAGGAAAAGCCTCAAGAGATTAAGATCTGACTTTAGTATGATTTCCACAACTTTTTTGTTCAACAGAGCTACCCACACCCAATCCCTGCCACTGCCAAGTGACTGTTAGTGGTCAGCAATGCCACGATCTAGGATATGCACATTAGCCAGAGGAATGTTCCTTTCTGCAGAATCCATGTAGTCATCATCTCCTTGACCTCCACATCTTCCCCAGAAAGGCAAGCTGAAATGAAAAGTGACTTTGGTAACATAGGAGAGAAACCAAAGAGATCAGAAATGCAGATCTCCTTGGACACCAGAAACAAGGCTTATTGAGGAGGAGAGACGTCAGGCTGCAGTCTCAGGGTGGGAACTGGAGCAGGGCTGCCTACCCCAGGCCTGCTCTCTGCAAGTTAACTGAAAGACAGATGTATGTGGGAGAAGGTTGACATGTGGTGGCATAGTCCCAGAGAAGGGCTGGAGACAAGCCTCTCTCTTGCTCCATTTCAACCCCTGCCCCCCTAAAAGAAAACTGAAAAAAGAAACCCCACCTCTCCATTTTAATAATGGTACAGTGGGGGTGTTTAGTAAAGAAATGTCTGTCTTTAGGTGAGCTTTAAATATTCCAACAGAACAATATCACGTCAATAGATATCTGTTGAATGGAGAACACAACCTCCAGTTTCATAGCTTCTTGTAAGCGTTCTGATTGCTGGATCACGCTGACTCCTCCTTTAAAAGCTACACTTTGTGGGATTGCCAAGACTCATTTAATAAAGGGTTCTCCTTTTTATCATGGTGACTTTTCTTTCTGCTCCACTACAGTATTCCAATAACTTCTCAGCAGTAAACAAAAAGACAGAGCCTCAAGAAAACCATTCACTTTATTTCCAAACCTAACATATTTGGTTTGGCATTTTTCTGAGACTAGAGGATGCCAATGCGGAACTAACCACGCAGAGGAGTTCTGAGCTGAGATATTTTTAGCTAGCAGGGAGGTTGTGGGAAAGCTGAATTATAATAACAAAAATAGAGTAGTAACAGCACCATCCTCCTAAATGGCTTGAACATTCCTTTCTCAGTCAGCGTTGTTTCAAGAAAAATTGTGGAGTCTCTCTTCTTTTCCAGTTATTTAAAGGGACAGTTGGACCTTGAGGGTGTTATGCTGAGCGAAATAAGTCAGGCAGAGAAGGACAAATATCATATGTTTGCACGTATAGGAGGATTAGGAGGAACTTAACAGAGGAACAAGAAAGAGAAGAAGGGAGGAAATGGTGGGGGAAAGGGAGAGAGGCAAACCATGAGAGACTCTTGAATGGTGACAAAAACTGAGGACTGATGGATGTGGGGGGGAGAGGGGAGATGGGCACGGAGGAGGGCACTTGTGGGGATGAGCACTGGGTGTTATATGGAAACCAATTTGACAATAAACTATTTGTAAAAAATAAATAAATAAAAAATAAAAGATGATATAAATGCAAAAAAAAATTAAAAAAATAAAAAAAAATAAAGGGACAGTTGGGCTACTCCACACGCTCACTTTGCATCATGTGATGCAGATCTCTTCTACTGTGTAAGATTCTACATACTCACCGTGCTGCTTGTCATCTTAGAATCAGAATAACGGAATCCGCCAGATGTAAAATTACCTAAATAGCTTTATGAAACAAGAATGAGGGGCGCCTGAGTGGCTCAGTTGGTTAAGCATCCGACTTTGGCTCAGGTCATGATCTCACGGTTCATGGGTTCGAGCCCCAGATCGGGCTCTGTGCTGATAGCCAGCTCAGAGCCTGGAGCCTGCTTTGGATTCTGTGTCTCCCTCTCTTTCTGACCCTCTCCTGCTCACGTTGTCTCTCTTTCTTTCTCAGAAAAAAAGAAAAAAAAATGAAAGAGCACAGTCATTTGGGTACAGATAGTCCCATAGTCCAAAGTAACAAAAGTTACTCACATATATAAAACAAAAAGAGTAATTTTTGCAGATTTCCTATGGTCACTGTGAATATATATAGTAAACTTTATGTTTATGTATACATATATGTAAGTTTTAAATATACATATATATTTAAAGTTTTCTAAAGAAGTACAATATAGGAGATGCCTGGGTGGCTTAGTCGGTTGAGCAACCAACTTTGGCTCGGGTCATGATCTCACAGGTGGTGAGTTTGAGCCCAGCATGAAGCTCTGTGCTGACAGCTTGGAGCCTGGAACCTGCTTTGGATTCTGTGACTCTCTCTTTCTCTCTCTGTCCTCCTCTGGTCACTCTCTGTCTCTTTCTCTCTCAAAAATAAACATTAAAATGAATTTTTTAATTAAAAAATACATTGTAGTAGAATAACTTTTAGGAATGAACCAATTTGTTGAATTTTTATTTCATTTCTTCCCTTTCCTCTAGGGAGGCTCTACTTAATTCTTTTATAGTGCATGCTGCTCATGCCCCTATTTAGCACTTTGGCAACTGGGTCTAGTATTAATCTTCTCCTATCATCTCACAAATTCCTTGATTGAGAAGGGGGAATGCCTTTGCTTACCTCAGCATTCCCAATGCTACTACAGTAGCATATAGAAAATACATAATAAACTTTGAATTCAGAATTAAAATGAGACCTACGGATATCAACAAATTGTCAATCAACCCTTAATTAACCAGGAGTTAATGCTTAAAAGGAACTGTAAATTGAAAAATATCACACACACACACACATTGAGGCTCTCAAATGCCACTGAATAATTTTATGAAAAATAACAACAAAGAACTCCTCTAATTCCCAAGTTGCTACGACATGTATTAGAATTGTTGTTACATGACAAAAAGGTAAGTAAGATATTTTCAGGAATTCTTCAGTTTCATCCCACAGTTTCATTTGGCATCAGAAAGCGGTCAACTAGAACTGAGGACCTTTAGGGGAGGGTTAGAAGGGAGACTTTCCTGATAACTGGGAAGAAGCTGTGTTGTAATTGAGAGAATCAATACTGGACTCGGAGTGCGAAGACAGATGTTAAGTACTGACTCCATCATTGTTTGGTGTCTATGTGACCTGGCACCAATCTCTCCCTTAGAATTACTTTTCCTACCTGTAAAAATGGGATAAGAATGCCTACCTTACCTTCTTGAGATAGTTAATAAGCATGATATGACAAAAATTAACATAGGGATATTCACAGCTGGCCTAAAAGAATCCTGCAATTGTTGGCCATATTTTTCCTTTAATTTCCCCTCTACCTTCCTACACTCATTATGCACACCAAAGAGAGACTATTCATTGTTGAAGAAAGATAAAGTTTATGTCTACACACACACACACACACACACACACACACGCACACACACACACACACACACACACAGAGATTGCAAACGAAAGGAGGAAAAGGATGGGAGAGAAAAGCAATGTATGGCTTGTTGACAAGTTTAGGAGGAACTGTGGAGAGAGAGCATCTAGATCATCAGTAGGAGGTAGTGCAAATGGATTAAAAGCATTTTTATAGGTAGTAGTAAGGACTGTGTATTTTATTCCCTTTTATGATTTTCAAGAAATGTGAGTAAAAGATTTGAGCTACTTTGAAAAAATGTTTAATGACTTGACTTTGTTCTTTTGACCACACACATAAATTATTAGACCATGAGGTTCCAGACTTTATAAGGGCATAAAAAATATCAAGTGAGATTATGTACTTGAAATATCTCTATAAACTGTTAAGTGCTATACAAATACTGAACAATATTATAACTGTCCCTGGGACATAAGTGTTTGTAAGGAAGAGGAGACCTCTTCTATCAACAACGGCTTAGGGTTTTTCTACCTATATGCATGAGCTCTGCCAGTCCAGTACTTCTATAAAAGATTATTTCACTCACTGTTAAACATTTAAGAATATTTTAATAATTTTTTAGAATCATCTGAGTTGACTGCATGTTTTTTTTTTGTCTTACCTATTATACTACATGAATCTCAATGACTGAGATCAAGATTTCTTGAACAAATAATCAGCTTTTTATTAATCACTAGTGCATGGCATTAAAAAAAGAGTAGATATGATTCTTGCTCTTAAGCAATTATTATTATTATTATTATTATTATCATTGAGCCATTATAAACTAATAAAAGAGAATGTCACTTTATGGAACAGATTCATAAATGCACTTCTAGGTATTTAGGAGAAAGGTAAAACAACGAGGGATGGAGTAGTCTGTAAAGAGGAGGTAAAATCTCAGCTAGAATTCAAAAGATGGTTGGCATTTGAATTCTTGGAAAGAAGAAAGCACAGTTCAGGTAGCAAGGGCACTAGAAAGAAAGACATGATGACATAAAGATTAAGCAGAATTTCTTCCTATGAGGGAGAAGACGTGTCTTGCTCAATGGAGAATGCATGCTGGACAATAAAGTTGAGCAAGTACAGTTCAACCTTAAAATCTGGGCAGAGAAGATTAGGTATTTATGGTAGGAATTAAAAAGTCAGAGGCACCTGAGTGGCTCAGTCAGTTGACTCTTAGCTTCGGCTCAGGTCATGATCTCACAGTTGTGAGATCAATCCCTGAGTCAGGATCTGCACTGACAGCATGGATTCTCTCTCTCCCTTTCTCTCTGCCCCTACCCAAGTCATTCTCTCTCTCTATCCATCCCTCCCTCCCTCTCAAAATAAATAATAAAAAAATGGAATTACACAGTCATTACAGATTTTGAAAAATGGGGAGATCAAAGTGTAGGGTTAACCTTAGAGGGGAACCACAGTGAAGGAGGCCAAATATCAAATACTGCGACTAACCCAGTGTGGCATCCTGGTTTAGTGTGGTGCCAGAGGAACAAGAAAGGTGCTGCTTTCTATGGACCCAGGCAATGTGAAAAGTGGAATATATATTGGTTGACTGACAATGTAACTATTTATAAACCTTCATAATTAGCCTGTTACATTTTAGGCTTAACAACAGTCTACTGTTACCCAATATATGACTTACATTGGACAGGCCGCTCCACAAATTGTCATTTTTGGCATTTCCATAACTGAACTTTTTAAAATAGTGAATAATTCCTTCCTGAATTTCTCCTCACTCAGAAGATTCTTGAACATATATGAAATACAAACTCCCTAAAAGAAAGAAGAAAGAAAGAAAGAAAGAAAGAAAGAAAGAAAGAAAGAAAGAAAGGAAGGAAGGAAGGAAGGAAGGAAGAGAGAAAGGAAAGAAAACAAAACAAGAAGGTAAAGAAAAAAGTAGTATGATGCTTAAATTTTATGGAACATGTATAATGTCTGAAAAATGAATATCAAATAAAACAAAAGTGTAACAAGTGGCAGTGACCTGGAAGCAGTAACTTCAACTGCTGGTGGCACGACCCTCATTTTATTTCTCCTAAAAGCAGAGCTTTCACTTGCCCACAGCAGTTACTACCTTCTCATAGGCACTGCAGCAAACATTTCCTCTATTTAAATAGGAGTTTCTGCCTGCTTAGAGATAGGACAGGAGGAATTTTGTGAATCTTTTTCAATTATTCCAAAACAAACATCCAAAAAGGCATTATCCTAAATAGAGAAGAAAGTTTTGCACTTTCAATTTGATACTTTCAAAGCAATAGAAAACACAATAGGCTTAGTAAGATATTCTTAAGAGTATTCAATCAATATTCCTTACAATTGATTGTTAAGTTTCTTTTCCCATACCTATCCCCTTTTACTAGTTCTCTACTTCATAAAAGTATAAATGCAATACTCCTTCAGACTTTATTTGAATGTCTACCATGTACCAAGACCGTGGATACAAAAACAAAATGGTTCCCAATTAGTGAAACACTTGCTATATGCCAGGAACTTTCATCCATCATTTGTGCTCCTTTCAACATCCTGAAAAATAGATGCATTATGTGTGCTTTATAAGTGAAAATATAAGAAGATTTGGGATTTCACCAAGGATTCAAAACATAGCAAAAAAGAAGACACTCTGAATCCATGTCTATACTATACGACCCCAAAGAGCTAATTAACCATCACAAACCACCTTGACATGTAGTGTTTAGACTTCTTATGTCTAAGGAAAAAGACATGTTTGGAAAAAAAATCTTTCCATAAATTTTGGGGAAGTGAATAGGCCTATTGAAAATTTTGGAGGAATGTGCCTCAATTATGCTTAATTTTCAGATTATATGCCAAGAACCCTGCACAGGCTCTTTAGCGATGGGCACTCTCTTATCCTATATCATTGGATACAGACAGTGATAGTCTTTCCTCTTACCCCACATACACAACTGTATATTTGTGTTATTTCAGCTCTCTGTCCATAGACTTTTGGGTGAGGAATTTACATTGTGGGCTGAACTGTATATACGGTACGACATACAAAAATTGTAAACTTACTAATTGCAGCTCTGGATATGTAGCATTAAGAGAGATGATGTCCATGTATGTTGCAAAACCTTCATTGAGCTGAATATCATTCTACCATTCCATTGTAACCAGGTTGCCAAACCACTGGGAGGCAAAGATTCAATGTTATTAGAAATGAAACAAATATAAAGATTATTAACTGTCACAAAAAATGCAATGGGTGGTAACTTTCTTTCAGCAGTTAAGGCCTTTCCTCTTTGTTACTCTTTTCTCTCCTTACAACTTCCTTGTAGTGATTTCTCTGCCTTCTCTTCTCACCACCACGTATTTGCTTCTTGCTTCACTTTTCTTTCTTTTGTGTCCTTACTGCCTCAAACTCTCCAGCTTCCATTTTATCCTCCCAACATTTCCTAACTATTAGATTTAATACTAAGGCGGGTGGGGGGGTGCCTGGGTGGCTCAGTCGGTTAAGTGTCCGACTTCGGCTCAGGTCATGATCTCATGGTTCATGAGTTCGAGCGCTGCGTCTGGCTCTGTGCTGACAGCTAGCTCAGAGCCTGGAGCCTGCTTCAGATTCTGTGTCTCCCTCTCTCTCTGACCCTCCCCTGCTCATGCTGCCTCTCTCTCTCTCTCTCTCTCTCAGAAATAAATAAAACATTAAAAAAAAATTTTAATACTAAGGAAGAAAATAAAACATTTGTGGGGTAGAATTTCTTTCTTGCATAGCTAATACAATCTCACCTCATCCTTGATTTATGGTGATGGCCTTTGGAGAAATATAAGTCCAAATGGCTTGGCGAAGTCACCTCGTTACATTAAGTAGCAGGTACTTGACAGAATCATAAGATTTTGTTAGAACTCAGATTGTTACACAGTATTACTGATGAGGAAATTCAGTTGTTAACTTTTATTCTGACTTCCCTCTAGGGATTTACTTTGACACTAAAGTGAATAAAGTTCTGAGATTTTAAACATATATAAATAAAATTAAAAGGAAGCCATAAAGAAATGTAAATAGACATTTATCCTTGACCTCTACTTGATCTGTGACACCAGTTTTAAGTATTACTACTTTTTCATGTAGTTTTATATTTTTTAGCCTTTATGTCCAATACTGTACATCTAGTTTATCTGTTTTAGGATTGCAATTTCCAGAAAAAAAATTAAACAAAAAGATTCCAAGTCTCAGAAAAGCCTTCTTACAATTATAGAACAGAATGTAGTTTCTAGACACTGTTTAAGCTCTATTTCTTCTCTGATAACTCTCAGTTCATTTTACAAGTGGGCACCAATCTTCCCAAGGGTATTTGTGAGAAGGGGTGGGAGGTGTTTTCTTAATTTGAGAATTGATGAATAAGAGAAATACAAGTTGAACTGATTCTGGTAACTTCACCAGTTAGTAAGAGTGGCTTATTCATTCATTAAATAAATACCTATAGAGAAACTACTATATTATTGGCAACATGTCATATGTTAAAAAGATGTATATTATATATCCTCTGCCTCAAACCAAATGATGGAGGTCAATGGTTAGACAGATAAATGCAATACAGCATTGTGGCAGTATTATCAATGGCTCTGCAAGGGATAGAGAGGATTCCAGGAGTTAAAAATCAGTTCTTCTGGGAGAGTGTGTAAGTTAGTTAGGAAATGATTCATTTCCTGAGTCTTGCAAGGGGCTTCAGGTGTGTTGGGAGTAGTGTGTAGTCTAGGCAGATAAAGTAGCAGAAGCAAAACCATAAAGGATCAACACAATGTAGCATGTTTAGGAAATGGCAGGTAGTCTGAATGGCTAATGCTTAGGGTATTGGCAAGAGATGGGGCTGGAAAGGTGGAGAAGGGCTTCATCTTGGGGGCTTTATATGCCATGCTGTGGACCCCTCACTCACTCAGATGGCATTGGGGGTCTTTGTCAGAGTAAATGGTCATATGGAGATCAATCGAGAGACAAAATAGACAAGACAAAAATTCCAATGCTGCCTGCTGCTCCAGTCCTAGACTCTGTGTCTCCATCAAAGAGAAGTTATTAAAGAAAGGCCCAGGGGAGCCTCAGAGATAGAGTTCTCTAACCATTTTCCTATGAATATTCAATAGAAAAATTAGAAATCCCAAGATTCAGTCAAGTGCTTTAGAGCTACCAGTGACTACTGATCAAAACCCTTAAGATGGGCCAGTGGGGAGATTCAAAACCAGAATAAGCCATACAAATGTTCTTAAAGTACAACGCTGGACATGGCACCTATGTAATTGGGTTTTTAGTTCACTGTTTAAATAAAACCCAAGTTATTCTTATAATAATGACAAAGGATAAAAATATCATATTACTAGTTTCTATAATAAAATGAGATTTGTCTACATGGTGAAAGAGAATTTGGGGGGCCCTTAATAATTCACTGTGCTACTAGAGATTTTCAGATTGAAATAGAGTGGAAATACTCTCTAATATCTATACAGCTAGTTTTATAGCTCCATATTTATATCTAATACAGTGTTGGTAGATGGGCCTTGGAAATGTTAGCCTGCAGGGAATTGTAGCAGAGATCATTATTGTTATCATTAATAACTAATACTTACTGATTGCCTACTATATGATAGGTACAGACACTTATCTGTAATTCTTAACAACAGTTTCAAGAGGCAGAAACTGCTATTAAGTTAATTTTATAGAGGAAGACACTGAAGTTTAGAGAGTTAAGTAATGTGTCTAGGGTCAGCAGCCTGTAAGTACTTAGATGTGAAGTACTTCTTTGTGGCCATACAATGATGTGTTCCAACTAAGGGGGTTTGATTTTGCCCTAGATTGGAATGCCATGGTACTAAGGGGTATAAGGAGAAATATTTTTAATACAAATTTCTATTTGTTGGGTTTCTAATTCTGTGCCCCATATACCTGCTTAGTCCCTACCTTCTTTTTTTATTATTTTTTAATGTTTTATTTGTTTCTGAGAGACAGAGAGAGGCAGCATGAGTAGGGGAGGGCAGAGGGAGAGGGGGACATAGAATCTGAAGCAAGCTCCAGGCTCTGAGCTGTCAGCACAGAGCCTGATGCAGGGCTTGAACTCACAAACCATGAGATCATGACCTGAGCTGAAGTCAGACACTTAACTGACTGAGCCACCCAGGTGCCCCCTTACCTTCTTTAGTAAAAGATATTTGAAGGCGATGCCATGAAGAGTTTTAGAGGACACAGTGGCTACTTCTCTTGTGACAATACTCCTTTGTGAGTCTCATAGTCTAGAGATTGAGACCACTGCTACGTCACATATATGTTTGGTTTGATAGTCTTCAAGGTCCCCTCCAGACGTAAAATGGCATAATTTTATGTTGTTTCAGGAATACTAGTGGTGTCCTGAACAATGTTTTTTAGCCTGATAGTAAGAGAATGTCATGAATGTCAGGCACCTGGTTGCTGGTTCATGGGCTATGACTTTGGTGACCCATAGTTTATCACAAGAAGAAGAGGTCTTGGGATCAAAGAGCAGTGATGTCTCGTGATATGTGATGAGGCCCCAATTTTCCATGACTCCAGATTCAAAGTCAGGAATAGAACTAGATCTAAGAAATAAGAACAACCATATTTGATCATTATGGCTCTACACCCGAAGTGCAATTTGCTTCCTCCTGAAATACATTGTGATCCTTTCATGTATAAGCAGACTTTCTGAAACCTTCAAGACCATTGTAACATTGACATGGTGTCTTGTAGTTGCACTGAAAATAATCAATACCCATTATTAAGCAGCATTAATTCTATCAATACAGTTTTGGTTGTAGCTGAAGTAACCTATTGACATTTAGCCATTTGTTTCCAAGCATGCTGAATTCTGAAAATATCTTGGGTGCATTACTGCTAAGAAAATGATTTATTTAAAAACACTCATATTGTATTTAATTTTAAGACTACTCAAAAACTTTGAAGGGTATCAAGTAATTTCTAATATGTTTGCGATTCATCAAAACATTTAATGAACTCATTTCTGCAAAAGAGATATAAGACTTTAATCTCGGGAAAATGTGCCTTAGAAGCAATCTCTACAGTATTTCAACTGGTATTTCAAGAACATATGGCCTCTACTGAGAGCAAATGTCCTTCCAAGGCAGTGGAGGAAAAAAGCTGTGGGGATCAATTATTTCTGACCTCAATTTCCTTCTCAACATTGATATTTCCTTTACCTTTCTTTAAAGTTTATTTGTTATTTATTTTGAAAGAGAGAGCGAGAGTGAGAGAATGAGCATGAGTGGGGGAGGGACAGAGAGAGAAGGAGAGACAGAAGCTCAGAGCTTGAACTAACAAACTGTGAGATCATGATCTGAGCCAAAATCAAGAGTTGGGCATTTAACCAACTGAGCCACCCAGGTGCCCTGATGTTTCCTCTACTTCTTAACAAAACTTGAGGAAATAAAGTCAAATTTAATCATCTTTAAGCAACTCAGGATAATGTACTAATTTATATTGTCTGTGTATGTGTGTATGTATATCATTTTATGTAGGTTAGAAAATTTCTGGCTAATATTTAATCTTGGATTTTTTTCTTCTTATTCTGCCAGGCCATTTTGAAAGAAGTACTGTTTGACTAGAGAGAAAGGTAATTTTTTTAAGTTTGAAATAATCCAAGTCACTTGGCTTGTAATTACATTGTCTAGAATTAATACTGGTTAATACTAATGGATAAAAACAAATATTTATATGACAATCAAAAACAAATTAGCAGCAATAAAGATTAGTATTCGTTAGGACCCCAAATGTGGGAATAATTCCTTTTGTAAGTTGCACTGTTGATTTTATTTTAGTTGGATTATTTCCCATAGTCATTAGAGATACTTATATCTAAGTTGATTTTTCCTAAACTACTTTTCAGTTATTTTTAAAATCCATTTCATATAATCTTCAAGGCTGAATTATTCAAGAACAATTTAAGATTGTTGATGGTTGTTATTGGATCTTTCCTTGAATTTTGATATAGAGGGCAGTAATGGATTATGGGTAAATTTAGTATATCTGTACTAAAAGGCATAGAGAACCTGCACTGTAATAATGTACTGAGACTTAGGAACTATGTGAATAAGCTCTTGGAGGTGTCTTTTTATGGTCCCTTTTACCTTCTCTATGAAAAACCTGCACAGAATTTGCAGTAAAGGGGAGCAAAGGCATGATCAGGAGTATGCTTTAATGTTCTCAAGGGGGGAAAAAAGTTTTGTCACTGTCAGAAATTCTAAAAACTGATCTATCTATATAATAAAACTTAAGTCATGGTTTAATATGTTCTGAAACATTATTAAAATCATAACTTCTATTTTTTAAGATAGAAAATTAATCCAAGTAAGATTATGTGTATCTTCCTAGATAAAGATATACTACTACCACATTCAAATTATTTATTTCCTCAAGTCTCTCTTTTTTTCAATCTGTGTCACATTTTTATCTTCCAAACTCTGGAAAGACAGACAATTTTCAGCTGTTTATATAAATCTTTGGCAACTTTATAAAAGGTTACTAGTCTTGTACAAATATGGTACAGAAAAAAGTTGTGTGTTCAGAAAAATTCATTCAGTTATTATTATTTTTATGTTTGTTTGTTTTTGAGAAAGAGAGAGAGCAAGCTGGGGAAAGGCAGTGAGAGAGGGAGAGAGAAGTCCCAAGCAGGCTCCTCACTGTCAACACAGAGCCCATTGTGGGGCTCCATCTCTCTAACGGTGAGATCATGACCTGAGCCGAAACCAAGGCACTCAGCTGCTTTACCAACTGAGCCACCCAGAGGCCCCTGGAAAATTCATCCAGTTAAATCTAACATGCAATGAATCTATTTTAATGTTTTTAATGTTTACTTATTTTTGAGAGAGAGAGAGAGACAGAGCACAAGCGGGGGAGGGCCAGAAAGAGAGGGAGACACGGAATCCAAAGCAGGCTGCAGGCTCTAAGCTGTCAGTGTTGCGGACGAAATGACACAAAGGACAAGACACACACAAAAGACAGACACAGACACAACTCCGGCCGGAGGAACAATTCTACGCAAGCCCCTCTTGCGGTTTATTTTATGGTAACTGGATACAAACTGAAACCTACAAGATGCATTCCTTTACCAATTAAGGGCAAGTAGCCAAACACATTTCAAGGACAGGGGGGAGCAAAGGGAGGAAGCGACCATAACATGTTTACTAAGATGCCTGCTCACAATTCCAGCCTTCTCCTTACTTCTAAGGAGGGCATGTTCCCTCGTTTGCGAGCGGACCATTAAACTTGGATATTGTGTGCAGGCCTCGTGGCAGAGCATCCTGTTTGCAGGCATGCTTTGCCCAGGCTGGGAGCCCTGTGTGCAGGCACATCCCCGCGTCCCTAACCACGCTTTATTGTGGTCACTGTCGGGCTCCCACAGTCAGCACAGAGCCCGACGTAGGGCTTGAACCCACGAACCCTGAGATTATGACCTGAGCCAAAGTTGGATGCTTAATGGAGTGAACAACCCAGCCTACCCCAACGCACCTATTTTAACATGAACCTGATAAAAGAATAAAAAATGATTCACGGTACTTGAGCTTCTCATAAATACTTTATTTTCTGCAGTGAAGAAACATCTCTGATGTATAAATTATTGTTTCCTGGGCTAACTGAACCTCTTCAGTACTCATTTAAATCATACATACAGAAAGAAATCAAAGCAAGCTCTATAAGCAAAAATAAAGACACTGACGTGGAATTTAAATTTATCCATTTTGGGGAGTGGGTAGTTGATATCAAAGTACTGTTCATAAAAATCAAGTAGCTTAATGATGCTTCCAAAGCATAATGGTTTTGACTCCATTTGCCTGTAGATGCATAGATGGACAACTGGAAATGTTGATCAGAAGTAGGTTTTGAATATTCCAAATCCTTGGCACGATTCCATTCCTAATAACCCTCACTCAAGAAAGGTAGACTGCATTTTTAAGGAAATTATTGTGATATAATTAAGCATGCTATTGATAGGGGATAAGATGTTCCATAAAGTATTACAGCAAAAGTCAGTCTTAAAAAGTATAAACAACCTTGTGTTTTCTGTTATAATCCATTCTCTAGGTACTTATCTTTAAATTTCAAGCTATATTAATTGATCATATCATGAGATCCCACTTTCGTTCATCACTATCACGCATTCCAGTACTTGAGTGCTAGCCTCCCAGAGGTCTGACTACCAGCACAAGTCAAATAAAACATAGGTCCATAAGGAGGAAAGCCTTCAAGAAGCTTTTGGATCCATCTCCCCATCTAGTCTACTTTAAACACAAAAATACCCAAATATGTTCATTGATTTCCCCAAAGTAAATAGTCATTAAGTGGAAAAAATAAAATTATATTCCACTTTTACGGGGCTTCAAGTATGGTGGTGCCACTTTCATTTCATGACCTGCTTTCAGGCTCTGAATTACCTAAAGTTCCTTGGAACTTTTATAGGAAGGATATATTTATAGTTACCATTTTTTGGTGCTTTATCAGGCACAGTGCTAAATGTGTACATGTGAAATCTAATTTAATCCTCTCAACAACCTTATGAAAAGATGGAAACCCATGGAAATTAAGTAGCTTGCTCTAAACTATCCATGTAGGAAATTGTAGAGCTGGAATGTGAAACCTAGGAAGCTGAATGGAACCTGCATTGAAGTAAACTGGCATCTGATGCCTTGTATGTCTATATCTATGCATACCTGTATCTGTGTGCAGAGATGCTGTTATGTATATATCATAGTATATATCTACACATCTGTAGTTATAATGTGTGTATAAATTGAAATGGCCATTTCAATTTATACACATATTATATAGCCAATTTATAGCTGTTTTTCATAAGCATATTTTGTGGTTCTTTGAATGTTTTTATGTCTACATTTGGTGCTTCAGGTTGAGATGATGATGATGATGATGGCGATGATGATGGTAATGATAATGGCTCTACTGATATTTGCAAAACTCTTTAAGATAACCATAGGATATTATAAATTTTTGCAAATAATAAAGACTTTAAAATTTATTTGATTTTTCCTCCTGCTGAGGAAAAAAGTTACAGAAAACAATTAAAAACAATGTGAATGTCTGAAAATAAGATGCTGATTAAAGTTATTTTGGTACTTTCTTGCAGTATAATACTAAGCAATTAGTAATGTAATATTACAGAAAAATATTTAATGGCATTCAATTGTTAATGGCATACTATGGTGAAAATGGAGTTAAATAATCTCAAACACTATTTTGTAAAACATAGGTATATTCAATTACTGTATATACTATCATATACTGACACATATACAGAAAATATTTGGAAGGCTTACACTAATGTTAACAGTAATTATATCTTGATGATGGGATTATGAGTAATTTATTTATTTTTTGCCTATCTCTATTTTGTGAAACAAACATGATATTTTGATAATAAGAAAAAAAGCTTAAGAAAGTAAGGAAAACTCATTGTTCTCAGGACAGTATATAAAATTCGAACTCAGTTTCACCTTGACCCCTAACGAGTTGTGCCACTCAGAGTCAAAATCACAAACTATGTAGGCTACAAGGTATGTACTCATTTTCACTGTAGTTTCAAAATGATCTTCTAGGAGGCCTCCTTTAGTTCAATCATCTTAACTTACGTGAAGGGGGAAAAATAGTATTTGTAAACCAGAGTATTTTACAATGTCTGTGATTTAAGCCAGGTAAGTTAGAGGAAGGTCCTGACACTTTGAAGGATACTTGATGCCATTATAGGAGATCAATGGGCCATCATGCTATTCTTTGACCGCTCCTCCCTTTGTTTCTTTTATCCTTGGACTCCCTCTTGAAGACACAATGTACTACTTCTGGGATCCCAAACTGACGCCAAATCTTATTTTGTTGCTTGAAAGGGTAAAACCATGTTTGATGTTTCTACTTCCTTGAAATGAAGTAATCTCCAACACTGGCATAAATTCAAGTTCTGCACTTCAAAGCAAAAATATCAAAGAATGTCTCCTCTCCCTTTGTTTCTTATATGTTAAGTAAATCTCTGTTGCAGAAGGAAATGGGAAACAAAACTGAATGAGATACTTTTCATTATCTTTTAATCCTCTTATTTATGTGTGAGGTAGGTGTTATTTCACAGGTGAGGAAACAGAGTCTCCAAAATGTTAACCGAATTGCCCAAGATCACATGGCTAGTTCCTCAGCAAGATCAAGATGTGGATATGACCGTGTGACTCCTAAGACATTGCTCATTCTTTCACTTGCTGTGTGACAGCTTGAGTCATAGTCTTATTTTATCTTTGCTTCATTGGTTCAGCAATGAAAGCAGGCAGGCCAAGGAGGTCATTAGTAATTTAAGCTTCTGCCTATCTACAGCAGAAGTAAGAAGTTTTAAGCCTACAGACTGGTCAGCCACATCTATCAAATTCACTGAGTAATTATTAAATTCTATCTTTATTTGCTCAGGATGGCTTGTCCCAGAGAAGGTCTCTACCATGGTACAGTGCCCCAGAATACGGAATGGATAAAGATCCGGTAATCTGAAACTTCTACTTTCTTTAAATTGGTAACAACTCTTACACCACTTTCTCCTCCCAACACCTCTTTCAAGGCATGTGGCTTGTGACAGCACTAACCAGGGCTTGTTAAGCATGTTTTATCTGTTTGGATAAGATTACAGTTTGCTTTGGCGAGACAAAATAGCTTGAAGTATTACCAGAAACTGCTTAGTCTACACAAATGAAAAATGTTTGTGCTATTTAATTCTACAGAATTCTATTTTAAAAAATGAAAATAAAAAATGAGTCCCTCCGTTTAAATAAAGCAGATGACATTGGCCAGGTACTTTAAGAAAGTTAGCAGTATATACAGGACTGTCATTTTAACTTTTACCCTGCAAGTTAATTTTGCAGAACAGTGATCTCTTTTTAAAGAGTCTATTTCAACCAGAGTTCTATGAGCACATACTTCTAACAGAGGTTAGAATCATGGTAGGGGCTGGGGAGAGGACATTGTGACTGTCGTCTTATAACCAAACTCAGTAAAAACCATTCAGTGAAGTGTGCTGGAGCCAGGAGAGGAGACAGAGGCAAGGCTGTAGGGCTACGAGGGAGCGAAAGTCTGTAACTCTAGACACCGATGGCGCGAATGGTTAGGAGACAGACGGACATTCCCTCTGATTTCTCCCCCCAGATGAAAATGTGGCCCACGGAGGCTAAGTTTTGTTCACGAACCTGGAGTGACCCATGTAGATTCACATTGCCTTAAATGGAAGCATGTGAGGTATCAGTGTAAGTTCTTCCCGGACTGGTGATGTAAGCTCCAAGTACAGAACACTTGTTGCTAGACAAGAATTTAGCTGTTTTCTCAATTTTGGCAGAACTTTTCTTGCATAACAAGTGTCACTAGCAAGGGTGTGTTGCTTTAAGGAATGAAGGGGACAAAGAAAAGCCCAAAAGATATGCTGCCTCTACTAGTGCTTGGTCAGCTACATCATTTCCCTTAAATCTCGTATTCTTAACTAAGATTGAGAACTTAGCATATGTTGCTTCTTCCCAGAATTCCCTTAATTGTTGCAGCTATTATCCGGAGAGTAAACCTGTAGCATTAATTCGCTTGTCCTTTTTCGGCTAACCATGAAAGTCTGGGTTGGACATGTCAATGAGAAGCAGAAAGTTAGGCCAGCATTTGCTGGGAAAGGCATGATCCAGAGAACTAGACAAGCCACTTGAGGCAATGCAGACATTCAAGGACTGCATAAAATATTTTCGAAATATTGACTTATGTGTCGTAAATAGGAGAAGTTGCTGGAGGTTTATAAGGATAAAAAAAATTAATTCTAATAGAATGAAATGGCAGTTATGCTTACATCACATTTTAATTAAAAGGCTTTAATAACTATATTTTTACTTTACCCTCCATGATTATTCATATGAAAAATGACCTTAATAAAAAAGCTGCCAGGAAAGAGACTGAACTGCCCTTAACTGAACATTCGGTTAGAAAGTGGACTTGGAGTTCAACTATTACTTGAACATTTTTACGTGAAAAGGAGTAGGCTAATATAAATTGCTGTCTGTGAGATCAGGGAGAAACCAGGATATGTCACATGGAGTGTAGTCACTTGTCCCCCTCAATCTGCTCTGCCAGTATTTCAGGGCAAATACTTTTAACAGCATTAAACAAAAATCCAAGGAAATTCAGTGTCTAGTGTTACCAACCCATGTCTCCTCTTCAGCCATAGAGGCCGGTCACTGTGGAGGACCGAGAGAAAAATGAAATAAGGCTACTTGCTGGCTTACGGTGGCCTGGCTCTTTCTGGGCTGCTCATTTTGCTGAAGCACTGTCAGAAGAGCCTCTCTTTCTGTCTCACTTTCCAAGCAGCTTCCGGGAAAGATTTTATATTCTGCTCAACAACACAAATGGCAAGCACATCATTATACTGTTGAAGGAATATTAAATGAGGCTTGGGGTCTGCCGTTATCTTTCACAGTCTCTGAATTCTGAGTGCAAATAAAGTGTTCAAACATCTCTTTCAACTAAAAACATGTATAGCTACAATAAATAATTTTCATATATATTTTTGAGAATCACCTACAACTTAAAAGAAAAAAGATTTCTAAGTTTCATCACAGACCACTAGAGCAGAATTTCTAGGGTGGGGTCCAGGCAGGGTTCTCTACATTCTTCCCATTCAGGATGTGATGCCTGACCAACAGCAGTGGCCTCACCTGGGAGCTTGTTAAACAGGCAGAGTTTTGAGACTCACCCCAAAAGCTGAATCAGAATCCAAATTTTAACAAGATCCTCAGATGATTCATCTGAACATTAAAGTTTGAAAAGTGCTGCTCTGGGTGATTCTGACTCTCATCGTTGGCCAAGTAACACAGATGTAAAAAGAACACTGTATCCATATGAATAAAAATAAAATATAAATCACTTTGTCTTTCTGTTTTTCTTTTTTAAAAAAGCTTCTGGTATAACAATGTCTTAAATGCAATGGTGTTAAATTCTAGACAGATTGGGGTTATTATATAATATGTCGACAGATAAAACAAATTGATGGCTTAAATCTTGAAACAAGAAATATTCTTTTAAAAAGGCAACAAAGACCAAGGTTCAGTTTAAGAATGATTCCCTCAAAGTTTCTGAAAGTGGCAATACCTTTGGCATGTTGGATAATGCTTTGTGTCCTCTTTCTCTTCTTATCTTGATTGAAAAGTGGCTTCATTTTTTATTTAATTTTTAAAATATAATTTATTGTCAAGTTGGCTAACATACAGTGTATATACTGTGTGCTCTTGTTTTCAGATGTAAATTCCCATGATTCATCGCTTACATACAACACTCAGTGTTCGTCCCAACAAGTACCCTCCTCAATGCCCATCACCTATTTTCTTCTCTTCCCTGCACCCTCCCCCATCAACCATCAGTTTGTTCTCTGTATTTAAGAGTCTCTTATGGTTTGCCTCCCTTCTTCTCTGCTTGTAATTATTTTTTTCCCTTTCTTTCCCCCATGGTCTTCTGTTAAGTCTCTCAAGTTCCACATATAAGTGAAAACATATGATATCCGTCTTTCTCTGACTGACTTATTTCACTTAGCATAACACCCTCTAGTTCCACCCACGTTGCTGCAAATGGCAGGATTTCATTCTTTCTCATTGCCAAGTGATATTCGATTGTATATATAAACCACATCTTCTTTATTCATTCATCAGTTAATGGGCATTTAGGCTCTTTCCATAATTTGGCTACTGTTGAAAGTGCTGCTATAAACATTGGAGTATACGTGTCCTCAGGAATCAACACTCCTGTATTCTTTGGATAAATTCCTACTAGTGCTATTGTTGAGTCGTACAATAGTTCTATGTTTAATTTTTTGAGGAACCTCCACACTGTTTTCCAGAGTAGCTGCACCAGTTCGCATTCTCACCAATAGTGTAAGAAGGTTCCCGTTTCTCCACATCCTCACCAGCATCTTTTGTTTCCTGAGTTATTAACTTTAGACACTCTGACTCATGTGACGTGTTATCTCAGTGTGATTTTGATTTGTATTTTCCTGATGATGAGTGACGTTGAGCGTCTTTATATGTATCTGTTCACCACCTGGATGTCTTCTTTGGAAGAGTGTCTATTCATGTCTTCTGCCCATTTCTTCACTGGATTATTTGTGGAAAAATTGGCTTTAAACAATGGTTCATTGAAGCAAGGGAAAGCCATCTGTGAATGGATAGGCTCAAAATCCATTACTGCAATTGTTCTGTGAAATGAAGAAGCCAGCATCCAGATTAATGAAGTGAAACCAAGAAAATAAATGAACTGTATCTTCAGAACACAGCTTATCAAACCTGGAGGTGATATATTTGACTTCTCAAACTTCTCAAACTATAATCTTAGTGAACCTAGGCTCCCTTTTTAAATAAAACAAGGATAAAATTTTATTTAGTAGCTGTCAATCATGAATAATGCATAGTGCTGGGCATTCTATTTATATGATCTCCTTCATACTCATAATAGGCAAGGATATTGAGGCTAAGGGAATTTGAATGACCCTACCAGGATCCTTAGCCACTAAACAAATGAATAGGCATGCCCAATCAATTTGACAACAAACCTGACTGGGATATTAATAGTTCAGTACCGTCTTTAAACCTGAGGGGCCCTTAATCAGATATTTGAACAATTGTGACTATGAGTGATGTCTCAGGTTGTGTTCTCAGAAGGCAGACCCTGATTTATTAAAAACATGTCTTCAGGAAGAAACCACTAAAGAGTGAAGGAAGGAGACAGGCTAGAGGAAAAAGCCAGGTTGGGTCCAGCTTCAGCCTGATCTCTGAGGAAGCTCTGGAATGGAAACTATACCTTTCAGTCTTCCGCTACTGATGGCAAGGAGCAGAGTGTTCATACTTTGTACCATCTGTACCCCATGGGTGACCTAAGTCCTTGAAATTTCTGGCTCTCTCTGCTTGCCGGCAAAGTAGTTCCAGTTCTCAGACTATAATAAGTACTAGGTATTCTGACAAATCTCTATACCTCATCACCTTAATAATGCTTCAAATGGAATTACAGATTTATTCTTTGGACTTACAGTTTCAATTAAGAAACAAATCGGCAGAGCAGATTTTTATTGAAGAAGGAGGGGAGAATTAAAAAAATCTCTAGGGTCAGATAAAGGATAAGAGGGACCCGGAGGGAAAAAAGAGGGGCTGTCAGGATAATTGTGACTCGATTTATTTTGTTTCTACAATACAGGTTGGAAAGATGAGGCTGGGGATCTAAGTGATTTGCTTGGAACTTTAGACCAATTTGGGTTTGGTAGCAGTTACCACATGTAAAGGAATTCCACATGCCTAGAATAATTTTCACTATAGTAAAGTTTTGTTTATAGTAAGTTTACATTGGGAAAGCAAAAAATCTAACATTTTTTTCTGCTATTTGCACCATTAATTTTAGCTCTGCATATAAAGTAGTGACTTCTTGCTTCTCAAAGAATGATTGTTGACTAGGTTATTTTTATATTTTAGGTTAAGTTGTATGTGTGTGTGTGAGAGAGAAAGTGAGAGAGAGACAGAGAGAGAGAGAGAGAAAGGTATCCATAAGAGTCTGTTGGCATTGTCCTGCAAAATCATCCTACATGTTAGACCTATTAGGGGACTGAGTATGAAAAGAGCCAATTAATCATAAGGTCAGAAATAACCTAGAGTTAGTTATGTAAGACATGTTGAAAAGTCCTCCAGCTTTACTCAAAAAAATCTCCCCCTCCAGTTTCCCACATCTTCCAAAATGATATCCTTAGAAACTATTTCTTTTGGGTATACTCTTTGTCACTTGAAAAAATGAAAAAAAAAAGTCACTGGTCACATGTTGTTGCCTTAGGGAGAAGAAATTGATGATAAAGTTCCTATCCAATACTATGCTGTCCTGAGAAGAGACCCATGTGAGTTGAGGCCGCAATGAAGAGTCCCCAGGGGGAGGGGCAAAGACCTGGGCCTGGCGAAGGACTGTCAGAAGTGCACTGCTCTGGGCTTGGTGTGGGGCACATGAATCCCCTGAGGGTAGTGAGAACCTAAGGTGGGAAAGAAGAGATATGTAGCAGACATTGCTAAAATCACCTACTCACTCTCCTTCACTCCCAGTGGAATTCCGATTTTATTCAGGAAGATAGTGTGTCCAGATAAAGAATCACCTCTTCATGTTCCCTTGTAACTTGATGGGACAGTATGACTCATTCTGGCCTAGGCAGTCTTTGGGTGGGAAAACTTTGTAAAAGGAATCACACTCAGCTGCAATGTTTCTTCTTACCTTTTTCTCCCTCCTCCTTCCCCCTCCTTCCTGCCTACAGTGTGGACCTGATGCCTAGAGGTGCAGAAATCATTTTGTATTAGGAGGAAAGCCACATGCTAAGGGTACTGAGCAGAAAGATAGAAGAAGCCTGGACCCTGGATAGCACTGAAGACTGCTGTAGCAAACCTGAGCTGTCCTGTTTCTGGACTTCTTGTTGCATGAGGAAAATGATTCTCTATGTGGTTAAGCCACTGTATTTAGGTTTTTCTGACTGGATGTTCCTGATAAAAGGTGGGAAAGCACTGAAACCAGACTCCTCTTCCCTCCCAGGTGGACCCCAGCCCTGGACAACCAAATCATGCACTACGAAGCACTACCAATTCCTCTCTTTTTCTAATCTCACCTATATTCTGAGATATATCAGCAAATTCTGGCTGTTTCATCCTTCAAAACAAATGCCAAGTTTAATCACTTCGCTCCAGAAGCACTGCCATTAGCCTGGCCCAAGCCACCCGCATTTCTTGGCTGTGCCACTGCAATGACCTCCTAAATGATTATTGTTCTCTATGTTCCCCTCTCTGTAATGTATTCTCAACATACACTTGAGCTTTATGGAGCATACACCGGACCAGAACATCCTGATGAATCCCCATGGCACTGGATAAAAGCCTAAACTCCTTGCAAGAGGCTCAAAGTCTTTGCGTGATATGACCCCTCTCTACTCTATTTCTCTCCATTGTCACTGTCCTCAAGCCATGCTGGTCAGTCAGCCCAACCTCAGATCCTTTGCACTTGCCACTCCCTTTTCTGGGGATACTCTACCCAAAGATGTCCCCATGATTTTTTCCTTTAAGAAAAAAACACTATTCGCAGTTTAAATGCAACTCCTTGGCAAGGATTTTCCTGATCACTTAGATAAATTAGTCCTGATCCCCAGCTACCCTTTATTTCTATTATAGCACCTTGTTTTATTTCCATTATAGCATTTATCACTTACCTTGCCCATTTAATTTATTTTCTTGTCCTGGTGTCCCTTCCCACATATCTCACCACTACACATTCAGTGCCTAGAACAGTGCCTCACATATAGCATGATGTGCTCAATGAATATGAGCTGATCAAATTGACCATATTTCTCATTTCTTAAGACTTGTTCCTGCCTCCTGGATTTGAGTCATGACATTTCCTGGGCAATGTACACACACTCTCTCTTTCTCTCAACCTAAATCTTACTTGCATTACCTTCTAGTCCTAGATCAAGACTCACCTCCTTTGAGAAGCTTGCCCTATTTTAGCTTTCTGTGCCATCCATGATATCCTCCCCTCGCACACGAACATGTCTACCTTGTCACAGTCACATACTGGTGTCTCCTAGGGACTCTCCCTCTAGTTGTTTATGCTTCTGTGTTCCAGGCCTTACCGATATTTCCTTTTTTTTTTTTTTTTAATTTTTAAATGTTTTATTTATTTCTAGGAGAGAGAGAGAGCGTGAGCAGGGGAGGGTCAGAGAGAGAGGGAGTCACAGNGCTCATATAACCCTTCTATCTCTTTTTCTCCCTCTTCATCTTCTGTGACCCCATGATTCTGATGTTGTTCCTTTTTAATGGGTCACTGATATCTTTCTTTTTTAATTTTTTTTTTAATGTTTTATTTATTTCTAGGAAAGAGAGAGAGAGAGAGACAGCATGAGCAGGGGAGGGTCAGAGAGAGAGGGAGTCACAGACTGAAACAGGCTCCAGGCTCTGAGCAGGCAGTCAGCACAGAGCCCGACGTGGGGCTCCAACCCACGAACCGCGAGATCATGACCTAAGCGAAAGTCGGACGCTTAACCGACTAAGCCACCCAGGCGCCCCGGTTACCGATATTTCTTTAAGAAATACGAAGTTGCTTCTTCTTCCAAGGTTCCCACAGTTATTTAGCTTTCCATGAATTACTGCTGAAATGTGCTCCTAGCAAAGAGATGTAACCCATAAGGAAAGTAATCACAAGAGACTAAAGAGCTAGAGCAATGTCCTACCTTGTTTTACCACCACAAGTTCTGTATGTGCTTTTATAAGCCATTGGCTAACTTGGCCTAGAAGTCAGTGGCCACAGGGTAACTCAAATCAGCCATAAGTTTCTCTGGAACCAGCAGTGCAATTTGTTGATGACCAGGATAACTCAAAACATTCAGCTTTTTTCCTGGTTTCCTGTATCTCAAATCCTCCTCTGATTGAAGGATGATATTCATGATTTCAAGATCTTTGCTGAGCAAGATGATATATTGTGTGGCATCTCTGACCAATCTTCTCAGATGCAACAAAGTCCAGGGAGGTAAGATTTGGATGCACCAATTACAGTGAAGGGTAAACACCATGCTTTGGAGCCTTAGCTCATTCAAAAGAAATGGTTACCCACTGGTGGCTACTGGGAAAGCCCCAGGGTCCTTATTGGACTGATCAATAGATGGCATTGAAAACTGAGAATAAATGCATATTTTGGGTATGATGATTGAGCAGTAAAATTCCATGTAAATATTAATTATTTATATGCCATGTAAATATTAATTAATTGATATATAATTAATTATTTAATTAATATAAGTATTAGCTTTCTGCATGATTTAGCCATTTCAGAAGCATGGATACTAAATCTATTCTCCAGAAACCAGATTAATATACAGGCTAAATCTCACAATTTTCTCCAGTGCTGTACTAGCTCCAGTTATGTCACACTGATCAATGAGTGGATTTGATCTAGAAGGGGGAAAAAAAACCATGTATAGCATGTAGAAAAAGAATTCAATTAATAAACAAATTTATTTTTTTAAATTTTTTATTTAAAATTTGTTAATGTTTTATTTATTTCTGAGAGAGAGACAGCGTGAACAGGGGAGGGTCAGAGAGAGCGGGAGATACAGAATCTGAAGCAGACTCCAGGCTCTGAGCTGGCTGTCAGCACAGAGTCTGACGCGGGGCTTGAACCCACCAACCACGAGATCACAATCTGAGCCGAAGTCAGACGTTTAACCGACTGAGCCACCCAGGTGCCCCAATAAACAAATTAAAAGAAAAAATAAAAGTGGATATGTGAATGGAGAAAACCTGCTCATTGTCAGAATCAAGCCGATAGCCACACAATAAAGTAGAAATTGAGCTATCATTTGGTTATTACAAATAAAAATCCTTTAGAGGTCAAACAAAGGGACTTGCCTCAAAATTGCATGTATAGAATTCCCTCTATATTCCTATGCAAGGAACATAAGGCAGATATGCAAATTAATTACATGTTAAATGCTTTTAACACTTGGCTACATTATTCTAAGAGTATTTTGGACACCTGAAAATTAGCTGCACATTTGGTCTCTATTTTGTCTTAACGAGTCACAAAGAAACTCTATATTCTTTGGATACCAGATATTATTATTAATAGCATTGAACTTCATCTCTTTCAATAAATAACATCTTCTGAATGGCCTTATTCTATGGTCCTGGGTGGAAAAGATGCGGGTCATGTTAGGCATTTAACCTTGGCATAATCCCAACATATCTAAAGCTATAGAATGAAAATTTGAGTTTATAATACTCTTAGTGAGAATATTTAAAAAATTGTTTTGGTGCTCGTCCTCTTAGGCTACCTTTGAAAATGAAATTATATCAAATTGAATTCACTGCCTCTAAATAGAACTAAGATGATTTCTTCTTATCAGAAAGGTAAAAGTATAAAATATGAAATTAGGACAAACAATACTGTTAGTTTACATAATTCAACTCTGACTCCCAGCTGCTTCTACTTACTTCCTCCCAGCAACAACCCAATCTATGAATGATTTCCTTTCCTTTTCTTTTTTTATCATTAACAAGTTCTTCAGAAGCAATTGCCCAGTTATTTTAATTTTCTACTTTGTAATACTAATGTAGCCAAGCAGATATTGTTAAAGTAACCACAATAACAACAACAAAAAGAAGAATAAACGAATGGACAAATGATGACCCTTCTTATTCACAAAAGCCGAGATATGCAAACAACCTAAGCGTTCATCAATGGATGAACAAATAAAGGTGATGTGGTATATATTCCTGCAATGGGATGTCATTCAGCGATGAGAAAGAAGGAAATACTGTCTTCTGTAACAACATGGATGGAACTTGGGGACATTGTGCTAAGTGAAATAAGTCAGACAGAGAAATACAAATAAGTACTATATACCTCACATAGGTTTGGAATCTTAAAAAGATGAACTCAGAGAAATAAAGAGTAGCATGGTGGTTACCAGGAGTTGTGCAGTGGAGGAAATGGGTACAAACTTCTGGTTATAAGTTCTAGGGACCTAATGAACAGCATGGTGTTTATAGGTAATAATATTGTATCTTATACTTGAATGTTGGATAGATTATCAATCAGTAGATCTGTAAGGTTCTCACCTCAAAGAAAGAAATGGTAATTATGTAATGGGGTAGAGATGTTAGCTCGTGTTCTGGTGGAAATCATTTTGCAATACTTAAATGTATCAAATCAACACTCTGTACACTTTAAACTTATATAATGTTATATGTCCATTATATCTCAGTAAAGGTGGGGATTTTTTTTTTATTAACAAAAGACACTTCTCTCCTTTTTAGATAAGCATTAAATCACAGCTAATAAACCTCAGTGTTCCAAGAACCTCTGACACACAAAACCATCATTGGTTTATTAGCTTAAATTTCTGACTGTTTAAAAAATGGAACTGCTTATTTGATAGGTCATGGGCTTGGGAATTAGAGTGTTTAGATTCCAATACTAGTTCCAGCACACTTACCTGTATGACTTTTGGGCAGATTTTCTTATTTTTTGGGCATTAGTTTCCTCACCTTAAAAAAACCAGTGTAATAATCATACCACCCTCTCTTTAGGAGAATTAAATAATTCATGTGAAGAATTTGGCATAACACCGCAATTATATATAAAGCACATAAGGAAGGTAAAATATTAAATTATTATCATTGGAATCTCTGGCCTAAATTAGGATTAGTTTTTCCCTCTCCTGTGACAGACATATTCCAAGAAAGTTGTATTTTATCGGTTAAGACTGAAGAGAAAGGCATTGCCATTTACTCATAACGCCTTTAATGTTAGATCCGATAAGGCCTTGAAAGGCCAGTGAGTATAAGTCTTTGGTGTCCAGATAAAGAAACTGAGGGGAAGTGAATTTCCCAAAATTCCATGGGAAATTTGAAGCAAAATTGGGACTAAAATACAGCCCTTTGACCCTTGATCTAGGGAGCTTTCCTTTATATTATCCACCAACTTCAGTAGCATTGCAGTGAACAAAACATCCTGGGATCGAAGACACAGGAATTACAGCCAATGTTCGGGAAAGGCTAAATTTAGATCACCGAAAGAGAGTTGAGTAGGTACAACAGAACAATTCTTAAATCAATTCCCAACCTTAAGTTCACATATTTCCCAAGGCAGTAATGCCAGATTCACTCCCTTTCCCCAGAGCCTCACTTTAGATTGTAAGACCTCCTCAATACAGCAGTTTTAAGCCTTAAGTTCAGGTCATTATTCCCACGGAAAAATTCTGAGTTTTAAGAAAAATTAGAGAAATGTTCATGTGTTATCTTAAGCCACACTGTTAGAGATTTAAATGAAGGGGAATTTACTTTTGATTTCACTTTCTGTTTAGACTCAGAACTTTGCATACTTCCTGGGGCCCCCGGGTAGCTCAGTTGGCTAAATGCCCTACTTCAGCTCAGGTCATGAACTCGCAGTTCATGAGTTCAAGCCCCACATTGGATTTTGTGCTGACAGCTCAGAGCCTGAAGCCTGCTTTAGATCCTGTGTGTGTCTCTCTGCCCCTCCTCTACTCATTCATTCTCTCTCTCTCTCTCTCTGTCTCTCTCTCAAGTAAATAAACATTAAAAAATTTTAAAAAATAAGAACTTTGCATACTTCCTGATTACAGCACGGGCTAGTTCATTATTGGATATTTGAATGGGGCTTAGGACAAGAACTTTAGTCCAGAAAGCACCAGATTTCCTCCTGCTTCAAGCCCTCCTCCATTATCAGTGATTAAACCATATAATTATTTTGATTCTGCCCCCTCCACTTCATTACCAAGTCATTTCGATTCCTCATTTTTAATTTCTTTTTAGTCAACTTTTAAAATATTCCCATATTCATTAAAGCAGTCTAGTTCCTCATTACTTCTCACAATGGCCTTCAAACAGGTCTCCCTGATTCCTCAAGCCCTGGTCGGGCAGTTTACTCGTATGATGCCAGGAAGCAGGTTCATCCTGTACACGGCTGCTCGACCATGCCGCCCCCTGCTTAAAACCATTCTATGGTTTCCTCCTGTTTCCACACAGATGCAGGTCCCCATATGGAGACCATGGGGGTGCCAACCAACAGCCTGTGTGCCACATGGACTTCTTCATGTTCTGCCTGATTGTTTTGTTTAGATCCTAGGACGTTGAAGGGCGAGAGACTTACACAAGTGTTATTCTCAAGTGAAATATAACAAAGTTAGCTCTCATCTCACAGACCTATGTATACTGGTCTTCGTGCCTTTTTCTGCTGTGCATTTGAGTTTGCAGCCTGTGCTTTGGGTCAACATTCAACCACTGCCATGATTAGATCCTGGTTAACTCTCAAGTCTTTTTTTTCTCTTTCTATATTTTATCATTTCAAACTGGATAAACACGTTGATAAAGAAGAATGAGCAAAAATCAAGGAGGTGGCCTACACTTAAGGTTGAATGGGGTCTCTGGGGGTGGCATTTTGTGTAGTTAGATGGGCACCATGGGGCGGTGAGGTTGGCTGGAAACAGGTGAGTGGGGGAAAGGGGACATAGGACAAAAGGCACCACTGGCCAACTCTTGGATATCTAATTCTACAGGGAGGGAAGGGGAAAAGGATATATAGGAAGCCAGAGATAATTTGATGACACTCCTTGCCACAGGGTTGAGCTCCGTTGTGGGTGTTTTCTCAGAACTCTGCCCTGCCCATGAGAATAGAAGTGATGAGGGAGAATGAGGAAACAAGATTTTGAGATTAAGCTGCAAAATCCTAGAATCCAGGTGACTTTATAGCTTATTATTTAGAACTATTTCTCACCAGAAAGGGTTTCTAATTTCTTTTATGATAAGAGAATAAGCTTGGGGATGTCTGTGACCTAGGGAATTTATGTATCTCACTCTTTCACTTTGCCCTGGTCTTCTGAACTCCCTGTCACTCAGACTTTTCTTATTGATCCTCTCTATAACAGGAGAACTCCTACCTGAATCCATCCCCACCTGCTACCACCCAGGGTACCACTTCAGCCTGTTGATTTTTTCTTTCTTAGCATTTATCAATTCCTGATACTTCATGATGTGTTGATTTGTTTATCTATCTCTCCACTAGAACATAAGCTTCTTTGAAATATTTTTTTAATGTTTTATTTATTTTTAGGAGAGAGAGAGAGAGAGACAGCGTGAGCAGGGGAGGGTCAGAGAGAGAGGGAGTCACAGGCTGAAACAGGCTCCCGGCTCTGAGCTGGCAGTCAGC